TTATGCAAAATTTTGACTGAAGGACTTTTACATATATGGTTGCACAGAATAAACATTGTCCTATACTTAGTTTTTAGTCTTCAACCTGATTGTTCAACCTCTAATTCTATCCTGTTCGTCACATTTTGACACTACGTTATCAGAAGTTTTCCGTACGAAAAACGGTCAAAGACTTAAGGTTTAGTTAATCTATGAAACTGTGGAAGTCTTATACTGAAAAATATTGATTTCTCCAAAAACAGGATGTCAATAAAACAAATTTCTTTATTAAAAATTTGTTTTAAACTTTACATTTTTTGGAAAAAATCTACTTTTTTTCAAAAGTTGCAGTATACGGAAAGTGTTTCTAATATGTCTGATAAAGAGTTGAATTTTGCATAAAACCAGATTAAATAAACCTGAAATCTTTGACGAAGGCGTCAATAAAAAAAAGAGTAAGCAGATGATAATTTTCGTATCTCACTTTCAGTTCGCATCTCTTGTTCACGACAAACTTCGTTCAGAATTAATAATTAGAAAAAGCGTTGGGCCAGACTTAACAACAATTTTTTTCTGTTGGGCGGAGGATCAGATTGCATTGAGCCATGGCCCAATGACCCTCCTATGAAGAATGACGTAGTTCTCAGATGTTTTCTGAAATATATTTTCCCGATCAAAAAACTTTACCTAATGCTTGCTTCATGTATTTTTTCAATCAATTATTTCCCATGATAAAAAACTTAATGTCCGCCTATCTAGTGGAAAATGTTTACTGTAAGACTTCTGCAGACTTTCGAAACAGATCTTGTTTCTCAACTACTTTCCATTTAAAATTTTATTCTAAGTCATAATAACTTACAAAAGTGATATTATTCTTAAGTCTGATGAATGATGGTAGTACTAAAATGTAGCGCAATAGAGTAATAGAAGAAAATGTCTTGAATTAGTTATATTTGTATAATTAATTGATGCAGGATACGTGTTTTCAAAAATGTTTCATTGATATATACAGTCCTTTGCTAAGCGATAAAACAATTACAGCTGACGTACCAACTTCGTTTAATATAACATTAAAGTTTCGATAACCTGATTTATCAGTGGCAAATTCAGAAGCATGCAATCACAGTCTCTGATTAGATAACCATACTTTTTTCTCAAAGTCCAGTATGAAAGTATTTTCTAGAGATGACCCATCGTGACTTCAACTGCATTCTCTTCTCTCTCGTGATATTGATTTTTATTTTTTAAGCAATTAAAGCAATCTTCTCAAGTGTAGATGTTAACATGTACATAAAAATGTTATGATACCGCAATGTTCAAACTTTATCTTCTCTCCTGCATCCAACCCAATGTTTCTTCTTCTCTTCTCTAACTGCAAGAGTCTAAACCGTTTTTCTATTATACATGGACTGATCAAATTCATAGTCTGTTTAGTATGTACATATATATCGATGTATATAGTCTGTACAATTTCCCTATGTCGTTTTTTCTTTCTTATGGTTCTTAATCCTGTTTTAAGATTTTTGATCTTTATCTACATACACATATGCGCGCACACACACACATACGCAGCATATCTGTATACATTCAGTACATAATGTTGAACATATGACCTGACCTCTGACTGTATAACGAAGAGTTTTTTATACATAGAAGAACTTTACTGTACGCGTAAGACTAATATATTCATACATAAGCCAGGCGCTTTAGACATAATTGTACAACTAAAGAAAACAAAATAGTCTGTACGATGATGCAAATACATCGTACTTCTATGACTCCCTATCAACGAACATTCTCGTCTCTATTCTGTATGACTTCTTTCTTCTTTTATGTTCGTTTTTTTTTATTTGAAAAGGAGTGTGCAGAGATGTGCTTTAGAACATGCTTTTTTTTCTAAAATCTTTAAAAAGAAGAGAAGAAAATCGAAAAACTCAAGTACGTTTTTCGCTCTTATTTTATTCCTCTGTGATGCATGTCGTTTTTGTTTTTTTTTATTTAATTTCGACGATGAACTTTACATTAAGAATGAAGAAAAAATGTATAAGTTTTTTATTTACTATACTCGGTGTATTTGAAAGTGCATCAGGTCTCCGCTCAACAATAACAAAAGTCATCGAACAAAAACAAAAATTGATTTCAAACTTAACTGTTTTATGCACGTCTATTAAGCATGCGTTCTCCGAGAATATATGGATAGATTTAGAGGTGGTTATAGGCATGATTCACATTTCTTTCTTATACAGGACAAAAAAAGGAACACATGCATACAATATCGTGCGACAAAAGAAAGAGAAAAAGAACGAACGGAATAAGAGTCTCACGTTGTTGGATGCGGTGATGGTTTTTCATTTCTAACTACTCTCATCTAAAAGCCATCCCCGTTTTCTTGATCAGAAACTAGAGTCTGATCGAGTACACGCCCATACTTATTCTCTCTAGTAATGTAGCATGTAAATCAAAAAGAATAATAAAAGAGAGAAAAAAATGTACTTATTACGCTCCTATATTTTTCGTTATGTTGAAAAAAAGGTTTTTCATGTAAAAAGCATTCTTTGTAATGGAAGGGGTTGTCTATAGTTCAATAAAAGAAGAATAAAAAGTTCTCCTTTCCGTCAAATACCAGTAGAAATCCTGATCGTATGTATTTTTGCATGTGGACATCATAGATAAGGAAAAGAGTTTTACATAGAAAAACAATAAAAACAAAGAATATCGCGGCACTTTTTTTTCGTTTTCTGTTTCTATATCTAGTTCTCCAATTAGGCAGTTTTCTCTAGAAGAATATTTCTGTTATAGAAGAACCCAAAATAGAAACGACGTTGCATTTCAGCGACGGAGACGGACGGACTTTCACTGACCGTTCGACATTTTTCTTCTTTTTTTTTTTTTCATTCTGAAATTCTTCAACAAACATGAAGAAAAGAATAAGAAGAGAGAAGAAGAGAGAGAAAAACGTTCTTCAAAGGTAGTGTTGTAGAAACACTATAGTTCATCATGTATCGGCGACTCTCTCCATAAGAATTCAGACATAAACCTAATACGCACACAGTACACAAATAAGATCCATCTGTGTATTTCTTCATATATTCATTTTTGTTGTGTATTGTAGACACATACCTTTTCTGTATGTTCTTCGTCCATTTTCATCACTGATAAAGAACCCCACAAAAAAAAGCAAAAGAGATTTACAATTGTTTGTTCAATCTAGTGATAATTTGAGCTCTTGTTCAACATTTTGACATTACTTGGTCGGACAACGAGAAAACAAAAAGATCATTTTTGAAATAAAATGGATTTTACAACAGTAAGCTCTCTCGATTTTGCAACTAAGGCATATATAATTGTATCTTTTTCAATTTCTTTTTTAGAAATCCGTTTTAAAATGGGAAATCGACGACGTCATTGCGTGGCTTAGGGAGTCGAAGCTCAGTGATTTCGAAAAAGTTTTCAGAGGTATCTACATTTAATCTTTTATAAAATTCAAAGACTATGTCCTTTTTAAAGCCCTCTTCAACAGCATATCAGGATATGACAAATGTTTTTCAGCGAGTGGACCCGACTACATATATTGTTTTTTCGATAAAATAAGAGTAATGTATACGTGCATTGGGAGAGGCGACGCAGTCTTTCACCGATAATCAGTCGAATTAGCTGCTCTGTTTCAGAAGCGTCCACTCATAATAGGATCAAGTCAAATATAAAGGTTTCTCTTAAATTCAACAAAAGAATTCATCTCATGGTTAATGAGTTCGCTTTCTTTGATACGGGAGTTTTATTATTTTTTGTTTGGATTTTACTTCTTTCTGTTAAAAATCTTAGTTTTTTTTGTGCACTAAACGAATGATTCTGACACATTTGAAACCGTCGTTAAATTTTCTTAGAGATATCGCTATTGCGTGCGTGTAAATAACTTTTTCTTCCGATCCAGCTCTGAAAAGAAAATGTAAAAAAAGTACCCTGTGTAAATTTTTTGAGAAAAAGAAAAAAGTCAAAATCAGATTTTCTGACATACAATAGATAAAATGCATTTTCAAGCTATTTTTTATTTCTTCCAGCAGTTAGTTATTTGTTAGAAAGTCTAAAATGCTTTCGATCGAAAAAAAGTGACAGCCGTTCTTCCTTGGTTAAGCTAAACTTTAAAATCGTTTTGTTGAAATTTCTGTCAGAGAAACAACGCAAAAAAACAAAAGACCTACAAAAACGATTAGACATAACCTCGTCAGAGATAAAAGTACCTTTTCATATTTGATTGACAGCAGCCAACGCCTTCAAGGTGATAAACTAGAAGCTAAACGAATGTAGACCGCACCCAAAGGCGGTGTCGTACAGCCCGAAAATTATATTTAATTATTGATACAAGAAATGCCCGTCTATAGAAGGAATTTGGAAACAATGGAGCAGAACAAACTGAGATAATTGAATGCTGTTAAAAAACATGTAACTAAATCATTGCTTTAGAAAAATCTGAGAAATAACTATTAATATAGTAATACTATCCTTTTTTTCTCTTGTAACCAAGTACAGGTGCAAAATTCAGTAGTTATTAGGTCAGAAAGTCCGAGAGCAAAGCTATAAGGTTCAAATTAAATACAAAATACTAATCTCTCGTGGTTTGTCTTACCTGTGCTTCAAATGATGTTGTTATATACGACCTAAGTTCGTTTTAACATTTGAAACACGTTAATTTTGAATACGGTTAACATCTGATGCAGAGTTGGGCGTGTACGGGTATACTCGAGTACAAAATTCTTAGTACTCATACTCATACTCGGGACTTTTTTTGATGAGTATTCCAAAATACTCGAGTACTCCCCAAAAACTGGTGACCTTTTTTTTACTATTTGCATACAAAAAAAATCGATTTATTCAGAAATTTTTTCGAATCTTCAGAAAAAAAAATACTCGTACTCCTACTCGTGCTCGATCTTCAGTACTCGTACTCAGAAATCCGTGTACTCACCCATCTCTGATCTGACATGAAGAATATCTATCAAATTGTACCGTTCTGTGATCTAAAAATGTTTACAGGTTTTTTTTGTGTTTTTTGCTTAGAAAATGAAATTGATGGTTTAACATTGTTAAAATTAAACGATGCCATGGTTGTACGATTATTTCCAACAATTAAACTAGAGATTCAATTTATTGATTTACTAAATCAACTAAAACAAAAACATTCATGTGAAACAACCAATGGTAGTACATTATCATCATGTTTAACAACAATTCCTGCACAAGCATCGTCTTCGTTCGATGATAATCCATCAAATTCATCACCACCATCTAATCATATCCATCATCCAGCACATTTTCATCATCATCATCATCATAAAGTTTCACAAATACCTCGTTACACACCCAAACTACATCCACCAAAAATGATTAAACGTGAATCAAAATTCTATTTACCAGCAAAGTATTTTATTGATAATTTAAAAAAACTCCATTGTTCTAAATATATTTGAATTTCTAGTTTACAACAAGATTCATCATTAAATGTTGGGGAGAGTGGCAATAATAGTAGTTTAGATAATGGAGAACATGATACAAAACATTCATTTCCACATATATATCAATTACCAGTATTTCCTGATACATTACGTTTAGCACTTTTAAGTCAAGATTCAAGTGCATTTAAATTAAGAACATACTATCGAAATTTGTTAATTAGTTCATTATATGATGATTTAACAAGAACTTACAATTTATGGTAAAATAAAGTGTGACAAATAGCATAATTTAGCAATGCACAATTTTTTTTCTCTCATTGAGGTATCCAAACGCTCGTCAGTATAAAACAGTTGCCTCAGCATTAGTAAAAGCTTTTCCATTTCTTGAACAATCAACTGATGGTGGCGAATCTGCATGGGTTGATGGTATCAAAGGGAAATTTAAACGTGGTCGACGTACAGTAACAAATTATGTTGATGCTGTTCAATCATCTGAAAATGGCATGGACAATAGTAATGGACATCCAGGTGGTAATGGTAGTGTAGATCAATTTAATGATGATGAAAATAAACTACATGGACAAAAACGTTCAAGACATGAATTTGAACTAGATACATATTCAGATAATGGGGATTATGAATCGGGTGAAATGATGGAAAATCAAAAGGATCAAGTTAGTTAATTTATTTTACCTGTTAAACGAATTTATTGAGTTGTTATTTCGATTTTTTCTTTCAGGAAGACAATAGTGAAAATAACGATGAACTTGAGGGTGAAGACTCGAATCACCGTGCTTATATTCATGCTATGCAAGAAGCCATGGTGTCTACTGAACCTGATTTATCTCTAATTATGGATTACTTTAAAGAAACGTTTCATTCTCGACGATTATTTGTTAAAACTCATAACACAACTGAGATTCTATCGGAATATCCAGCATTAACATTACAAACATGCGTAAGTTAATTGTAGTTAGTGTTTAACTAGGCTCATTTCTTTCTATTTTCCTCTCTCTTTATATCAGTTGCTTACAGACTTTCATATGCAAACAAATATACCCATTCAAACTGTATTTATTCATAAATTACGTTCAATATCGAAATCAATATTACATCTAGCAAAAGAAACGAATTGTGCCCCAGAAATACTACAATCATATCATGCCATCGTTACACAAAGACCACAACTTGATCAAAGTATGTACAGATATTTCTTATGCAGCTCGTGCTCAATCAATTTGATTTTGTTCGTTTGTAGTTTTGGCTGACACATTTGCTCTTCTCATTGTATCACGATATTTCGACGAAGATCGTTTTCTACTCACATCTTCAGAAAAGGTAAGTTATCACTATTGTATTTGATACACCGACAAGAGAAGAAATGATCCCATAACATTTACAAATCTAACAAAATGTACATATAAACGCTCCTTTTTCGATCCAAATAAGAGTAATGAGCTTATTTCTTATTTTGTCGAATATTCAATACAATTCAATAAAATTTTTAATTTGCCAACTTGAAAATTCGTTGTACTTGAAAATAGACATTTTATACATATCAACAACAGTTTCATTCGTTAAGAAGAAACATTCTTGTCATCAACATAGGTAGAAGACTTGCATAACCATCGATATCTCTCAATAGACTTTCTTATTTTAGAGATAGTTATTAGAACAATTTTACAAGTTCTTCTCGTAGATTCGATCTGCCGACATTTCATACACTGCACTTCTAGGAGAAGAACTTGTAAAATTGTTCTAATCGGAAAACTCTCCTATAAACAGTATATCTTTAGAGATAGTTATCTTGTTAAGAATTTTCTTTTTCTCTGTACGTTTTCTTCTGATACATGTAATTAATTTCTACTCTAGAAGTTTAGCAAGTCATAAAACTATTAAAAAGATCAGGCTCATTTTCATCTTATCATAATCAAAATTAATTTCTTTCATTTTCAATCCAATTAAGAGTATCTAGCTCAACTTCCATTTTGTTCTTCTATTATTTTTAATGAATTATTTGACTCTTTTTGTGTATAAACAAAACAGTAAAAGTATCGACAGGTACATTTTTATTTATATTATGTTTTCATTATCCGACTTTTATTTATTTCGGTAGCTATTATAGGTAATAAAGTGTACAATATACAATTTACACGACTGTTGAACGACCTTGTTCATACTTATGACTACACGTTATAGTATTACGGTATTCATGCTAGACTGATTTTAAAGGAGCGTCAAATAGTATTTTGTTCTTCATCTAAAAATCAACTACTAATATTGTACACATTGTCAAAGTGTTATTGGTTAGAAATCAGCATTGTTCTTTTCACCTTATTCGACTATTTTTTTGTCAGTTTTCTTAACCTCAATGTACTTTTGATTGATGTTTTTGTACATAAATCTAAAAAAATTCATTATACAAGTATTTTGTACAAAAGAAAAATATCATTTAGTAGGACAAGATTAACTGATTCACTTTTTTTATTTGTTCTATACTGAAAATGTCATTTTTAAGGTTTTTCTTTCAGGATACCAGTTCTCCGTGGCCAATAATTCGTGGTGATCATCCGGCAAATATTTTTTATGATGGAAAATCGATATCATACAATATTGAATTAGACTACATACGTTTATTTTCTCGTCCATTAAATGATTTTCTAACGGCTATTATCACATTATTTGCTGTTTATACAGTATTTGAAATAACGTATGGTAAATTAGAAATGACATTATCATTTATTGATTGTCTATTACGAGAAAATCAACATTCATCTACACGTCCACCGCAAGTGATTGAACTAATAAATGAATTAAATACAATGAAATGAAACGCATTAACTAATGATCATCTTCATGATTATAGCATAGCATAGTCCAAAGAGAATGGATTAATCTCACTGTTGATTTTTATATGTCATGATGTTTGTCATTTGTTCATTCGTTCTTTTTTTCAAAATTCTTAGTGAATAATGCAAATTCGTGCGTTTTTTGGTTCCCTCACTTGCATTTTCTTCTCTTGTTTATATCTCGTGTTGCTTTTTTTTTTTGACTAACAGATCGTTTTTTTCATTTATTACATTTGTTTTGGTATCCAATTTTTTTTTCGTTTAGTACTTGGAAAATGTATTCTTACACATACGAGCACTAAGCACCTTTTTTCAAATCGATCAACCAATTTGTGTATTAAAATTGTCATCGATAGAGCGCCTGTTAAAAAAACAATTGTAAGCAATGCCTTATTGATTACTTTTGTGCTATGCAAATATCATTTTATTATGAATATATGGTCTGGCTTTCTTAGAACGCCTGTATCTACTCGAATAAGAGATGCTCACAGGTTGATTTTTTAATGGTTCGATTCGTATACTTTTTGATTTAACCTGTACTAATGTCTGACTCGGATAGAATAATGTTTATACTACAGACATGAAGGTTTAGCTCAACTTTTCAAAATAACTAAATAACTTCATTTATTAAATTCGATTTTTTTCTCGGATTTGGAAGAACCATTGTTTCGCTGTACTAACAATGCATAAATAGATTTATACGGTTAGAAAATATTATACAATGAAGATTGGACCGTAAACTTCTCAAAAATACATTCCCTAGTGAAAACTTCTTGTAAGTAAGATTTTGAGTTCTTGAATTTGTTGCTGATTCAAGATCATGACAAGAAAATGATCATGACTTCTTGAAATTCGTGAAATTCAACAAATTCCAAGAAGTCAGGATTTTAAGAATCTTAAATCTTATTTTATCAAGATCTTGATAATTCTTGAATTACAGTTTATGTTTATACTCTTGTTTACATATCCAGCCTTATATGGTCATATTTAGAATAACTTTGAAAATTTTCCTTTCTTTATTATAGATGTTCATGGAAGAGCAGCCTACGATCGCATACGCTCGTATGTCTAATACCCAAATTTGTCACATACGACAAGAAAATACATAAAAAGATTTTCAACCAAAATCTTGAAACATCATGCTTGAATTAACTTAGGATCTTGAAATTTTTATTCAAAAGATCTTGGTTATGGTCTGTTGTAAGATTTGTTTAAACTTTACTGCATAACGCTGTGTGTTCTGTATATCCAATAGTGTAATCGTGGCAGAAGGAGAGGGGGGAAGGAACGTAAAAGACGTGTTAGTGTATAAAGCTTTCATTGATTATCCGTTAACCTCTCTTTGCATGGTATGACAAACAACGTAAAATCAAATTTCAGTCATTTTTTTTCTCATTTTAATCCACAATATCGATACAAAATAGAACAAACCAATGACAAAACTCGAAATAAATTTATTTAAATGTTTAAAATATGCAATAACACCAAAAGCAGATGCGGACATACTCTGAGAAATGAAACTAATGTTTGTCTACAATGATTGGCTTGTGTAGACTACCTTCTAATAGACGATTAATAGACCTATCAATGTTAAAGCTAAAGGCCATAATATAAAATATTTCTGATGTATGAAAATCATAATCCGATATTTTATAGTAGATATTTTATAGAAAAAAAAATTAGATATTATATCATAGAATACGATTAATATGATTAAACAGCTAAAGGCATTGTATAAATAACGTCAAAACTTCTTTTAAAATATGTTATATCCATTTTAGAAGTAAATTACATACAAAATTTAGGTATAAAAAGACTTTAGCTCTTTCTCTTTCTTCTATAAGAAAAATCAATATTACCTTTGTTTTTGTCAACTTAATGTTTAATATTCATTTACTAAAGCTCTATTGACGAGAATATCGTCTCAAGTGTCCAATCTTTTTTTGCTTGAAACATACATGGTTAAGGGTAGACAATGATCTTGATCACGAATCTGAGACTTATATCTCAGATCGTATTTTAGATTTCTGTTCAGGATTTACAATAGAACTCGCCACAATCTGAGAATTCAATTTTGAGTAAACGTATTTTCATTATGCTAGATCGTAGAGGACATCGAATTACTCATGTCCATAATTTTTTCAGCTAATAATCAAGTTTTTATGGCATTATGAATTTTTTGAATAAAAATATCGTATTATATCTAGACGTTCAACTCAATGTTTCAGGTATCCCGCCTCTTTTTTCCTCGAAACATTTCGCAAATAATTGTACTTTCTATTCATTATTCATCATTGTATCAGTCGCATTTAATAATTCTTTGCCATATATTAAAAATTCTTTGATCATGGTAGGAGAGTAAACAATGTTTCAGTTTTTCTATTATTCCTACAAAATTTTAAAAATTTATTAATAAATTCTTTCATTGACAGGAGCAGACTGTAACATATACAAATCGACCGAACACGGTTTGAGAAATTGTAACACGAAATTAACCTTTATTCAAAACAAAATAGATCAGATCCATGTAGAGAAATGGTTTTGGCGATAAAAAAAAATACTTAGGTCACTCATTTTCTCATACTTCATTTATAACTCACAAAGAACTTGTCCTAGTCTGGCATTCTCATCATTTAATTTCTTATACCAAGATAAAACACTGTTCCAATACAGATTGTTCTATAAATGGAAATAGTGAAGAAAAATGCAAAGTATTCTTTTCTCAAAACGAAATTGACACACAAAATTTCTTAGTTAAAACACGAAAAACATGTTAACTTTTCTACAAACATGTAGGAAGAAACACAGGTTAGCAAATTAGACGAAACTTTTTGAATAATAATAATGTGTTTTTTTTAGCAAAAAAAATCAATTATAAAGTGAACTCTAATGTGTTCGTTTATTCTGACTTTCTAAATTTGAAATATGGTTTTAATTTAAAGGTGTCTATACTCAAAAGACCAAACAGTTTTTCTAAAATAAAATTTTTTTCTAAAAATTATTGCAAATTTAAGTTTCTTCTGTAGGTATACGATAAAAATCTCACAATCACCTGTTTGTAATGATTGATGTTTTCTTCTTATACTATTGAATCTTTTGTAATGGAATTAAAATAATGCTTTGAAACAAAATTGACAGTAAGCGATGTTGTTGTTTTTTTATATGAATAATATCATTTCATATTTTGATTCAAGTAAGTATGGTATCGAGATGTGAGGTCGGATAGTATTGGGAATTTCTAAGACTTTTTAAAGCTCCTTTTTTTTTTATTACAACATACAAAAGTCTAGTCTATTCTTTTTTCTCATCGTTAAATTTTCATTATGTATGCGCGTAAAGAGATACCGACCATTTTACCGGATGCTGTTTTGCGATGTCGAAAAATTCATGCAGCATCGCTTCTTGAAATTGAACAATTGGAACGTATGAAACATCGACGTGTCAATAATATTGCGTGGCAACAGCAATCATTTCAGAAATGTTTAAACGAAAAACATGTTAAATGGAAAGCACACGATAGAGCATTTCGTCTAAAATTAAAACGAGATTTAACCATACCATTGGCTACTGCACGAGGTATTCGATTTTTGAAAACATCAGACACTAATGATGATATATCGAAATTTTCAAAGACATTGTCACCAGATGATATCGACGACACGATTCTGATTGAAAGATTGGCTAAATCGAACAGTGCTAATCCAAGTAAGTTTATATCTCTTTTGTCTCCTAATTAGCCTCGTATCTATATGAATATTCTTTTTTATGTAGTAATCTTACTTTACGCATACTTTTCTATGTTTAGAAATTTTAAATACAGGCTCAAAATCCGTCCAGATGTCGAACACAGCTACTCCTATGTTTAGTAGTACACCACACACAAATTTAAAAGGTCGCTTTGCTAATTCTCAGTCAGCCGGCGTCATTCCTCGAAATAAACGCTTACCAAGTATCTCAACAACCACACGTACATTATTACCTAATCGTCTAAAGTTATCAAAACATCGAAATAAAGCGAGTCGATTTGAAAATTTATCTGGCACAGATCAGACAGAAGACGATATTGATTTTGGTACTTTATTAATGCGCATTTTAAATCATATCGCAGCCACACCCGATTTAAAACAACGATTGGATCATCCAGTAATACGAGCAATTCGAGCAAGGGATAGAAAAACAGCGAGAACTCAAGATGAACGATTTTCTCATTTAATGCAGACTTTAGCAACAGCCACCACTGAAGATGCAAATAATAATGCTGATAGTGATTCAGATAATTGAACTACAATATATTCACTAACTAGCTTGTTCGCGTTTAATAACGACAATACTCGGTTTGAATGACGTTTGTAAGTCTATATAAAACTTAAAAAAATAAATGATTATTTTTGACAAACTTCAGAACGAAATGTTGACAACAAATAGACACTGACTTAATATCAAAGTAATATAAAAAATTAATGTGACAAGTCGTAACAGTAGATGTCATATTATATCTTTATATGACCGATAGTTAATTCTCTTCTAGTCTTGTAATTATTGCCATGAGACTTTTCCGCTTTATGTAGAGCAGATTGATGAATCAGAAATCGTTTTGAGCATGGTAGTTTGGATGTTGTTTACAAAAAGTGCATAGAAAATACAAAAAGAATAGCGGAATTTTAAAGCATTTCTTTTTGCAGACTGGAGACTTACACGTGTTAAGACAATTCGATTTGAACTCGACTGAATCCTTGAAGTAGATCGAATTGCAGGTCTCTGGCATAGAAGTAGGAAGAAATTTTTTTTTCTCGTACACAATTGATTTCCATAAATGCTGTCGTCTATTTTACCCAATAGTGATGTATTCTGGAACTTGGTGTACAAAGTCTTCAGTGTTTTATCGTAAGAAAAACGGAATAATATCACAAAAATGATGATACTGTGAAGTATCGAATGTAAAATCATTTTACAAAAATGTTTTTGCAATTTTTTATATTAGAAAAGCCATGATAGCACTGAATTAGATACTTCAATGCATGTGTTACACGAATCAATCCAAAAATCTATCATCATTATTCCAATTCATTGAATAGTCAGTCACTAACCTATTTTTTAGGTAGCATTACAAAAACATCTGACGGTGATTGTGTGATTTGTGATTCAATTTTTTCAACCATTCATACGCTTTTTTTTAAAATCTTTTTCGTATGTGATGGTGAATAAAAATGGTATACTCTCATATTCTGTTAACCAGTCTTTTAACATTCTTGGATACATTTGTAAAAATGCTCTGATTAGTTAAGAAAAATCTATTTGTTTACCATTTTCATTCACCATCACATATGAAAAAGATTTAGAAAAAAGCGTATAAATGGTTGAAAAAATTGAATCACAAATCACACAATCATCGTCAAATGTTTTTTGTAATGCTACCTAAAAGATAGATTAATGACTGACTATTCAATGAATTGGAATAATGATGATGGAGTTTTGGCCCCAGGTTCATTTAACATGTGTATTAAATTGAAATCTATATCCGGATTAAGCACTGTTTTTTTTCTCTTTACAACACATTCATCAAAAGGTCGATTTTGGTAGAACAGTCGAAATTGATTGTTATACGCGTTATTACTTTATAAATAAAAGGTGGCATATTAAACAAGAACTGAAACACAAGTTGTTATCGAATGTTGAGCATTATTACGTATTTGATCAGCAGTATTAGATATCTTAGGATTTAGTCGAGTTGTTCCACATTCTTCACATAGATATGAATAGATAAGCTTGAGATACATGAGTTATCCGCTATTAAACGATCTTCAAGCATTTTCATACACAAGTCATTTCTCTTTCACTTTCTCTAATTTAAACTATATTTATACAATTTAGTTATCATTTTACTCTATTTTGTTAAGGTGATAACAATTAATAAGAACAAAGACGACGAGAAAAAAAATATTTTCTCTATATTCCTCATTCAAACGGTCTTGTTAATAAAATGATGATATTCTACTAGTTTTTTTTCAATAAACGAACGTATAGGTGTTTCAAGTGCCACAACTTCAAAATAAACTTACCAACATGATAAACGTCACTCTTTATGAGAGAAGAACTTAACCCTGATTCGTCCTGCGGATCCCAGACGAAAACGAATGCTTTGAAGACTTGCTGCTCTGCTAGATAAATAATGAGTGGATGCAATCAGTTCATATAAATAGTACACCCTGTTATCATTCAGTGGAATATAAAGTGAAGCGGTAAAATCTAACAGTTGTGTTCAGCCAACTGAAACCGGTAGAATTTAGGCATATTATAGGTGGTCGGATCAGGACTAACGGTTGGTTATATGATTTTCTTCTTTGATGTTCAGAAATCAAAAATAAACATTTTGTATTCCTTCTGTCACTGTTTTCTTTTATTCAACGTATTTTATTTACGTTTGATACAAACGCAAGTAGCCAAAATAAATGTAGAAAGACAGCAGAAAGAAGAAAAACAAAACCGGACGTTGTACGTTACAACAGTATTTTGTATATAAAATTGTTGAGAAAAATAATATTTTCAAAAATAGATACAAAAGAAAAAGAGTAGACAAATATATATAAATAAATAAATAAATACATTGAGTTCTTTATTTTATATCATTTGCTAAACGTATACATTCATCTGGTACACGTTCAGGAGCTAAAATTGAAATAAAAGTTAAAATAAAGATATTATTTCAAATAAAACAAAATAAAAATACCTGAAATCATTGATGTTGTTCGACTCATTTCCAAGAGAGCATTTCTGGCAGCTAGAAAGAAAACAAGATGATAATCACATATTTTATAGTATTATAATTAGTTACGGGCAAAATAAGGTTATTCTTTATTTTTACAAAGATCAAACGAGTTATGACAATCAAATAATGCAAATAGTTACCTGTACGTAATTGTGCTAAACTTAAATGATTATTTTTCCAATCATTTATTGTTTTATTAAAATCTTCGCGAGAATCACATATTATTGTTGAATAAAACGATTCAAAGAGTGGTTTTAATATTAATGAAAACGGATAAAAATGCCAATTTTTTCTTGTACGTTCACTTATATATGAATTTAATAATTGAAAACATGCTTCACGTGAACGACTAGGCGATACTAAAGGTATACCATCATCGGGTAAACTAGCTTGATATTGTGTTATTTGAGATTGTAAATGAACGATTTCCCGTTGAAGACTAGTGACTTCTTCCTGCATTTTATCGTTGACTTTAGATACTTGTGTAATATGATTAGCAGCTAAAAAACAATTTAAAATTAAAAATAATTATAGTTTAGATATTTATACATACAACTTACTAGATTCAAGCATTTGTGCTTTGCTTATTTTTGCATTTGATGGATCACCAAGTGTGGGTATCATTGTTTTGAGCGAATCAAATCCGTACTAAACAAAAAATAATAAATATTAACAACGATATTCTTATTTTTCCATTGTTTTCACTTAATAAAATAAGAGTTTACGAAATATATTACCTTTATGTTACATCTTCGCTTTTGTTCAGCATTTTGATAAGCTAAACTTGAACATGTCGATGATGGGGATGAATCAAGCGACTAAAAAAGATATTTTTACATATAATAAATATAAAATAAATAATGAGACTAAGCTATAACTTACGCATTCTTGATTGTTTAAAAATGTACCATCGTTATTGTTGTTTTTCATTGCTGTTGATGTTAATGTTATAGTCATCGGATGATCATTATTATTATTGACTGGAGATGGTATTTCTTGCGATAATGATCGTGATTTACTGTTCAATTTCTTTTCATCAATTTGATTTATAGATGTCGAATGATACTAGAGACATACATCTTATATGAGTTAAATTATATACAGATAAACATTTACTACCTGTGTACTGCTAACAACATTTTTGTCACTAACTACTGATAATCGTTTCATATTTGTTACTTTTGCTAGCGTTTTTCGAGATTTTGTATTGTTATTAATTTTTACTTCTCTTGTTTGTAAAAGTGACGCATTGGAATTAGCTGGTGTTGGACGTTTTTGATGAAGAAGATCAACGAGTGTGGAAGACGGAATTTTTCTTGTTGGAAATGAAACAGTATCATTACCATGATGCAATTGTTGAATACCATTTGAAGAAGAAACAGTAAATCCTGCTGAAGTTTGAGGTTTAGATTGTTGAGTTTGAACTAATTGAGAATTTAATGCAACATTTGTGGGCATTTGTAAATTTCTAATCGGTGGAATAACCGACAACTGATCAATATTCTTAAAAGCATGAGAAAAAAAAATGAAGATTCATTAAACAAGTAGATAGACAATAGCATACATCATCAACAACAGATTTATTCATTCGTTTTGATGATGGTACAGACAAATAGGAATTATAAGTCTGATGAGGAGTAAGCGATTGGTAATTACTATCGTACATGCCTATGGAGTTTAACGTGTTATCGATTGGCAAACCCTTAAAGAAGAAATAAAATATAAGAAGGATCATATTAAAATTAGATGCAGTCTGTTACCGAATTCACACCACTAGTCGTATTATTAACCAATGTATTCTGATTTAATATATTTTTTTGTTGTAACATTAATCGTGATCGATCAGAAGTCGTAACGGAAGAAAGTGGTTGTCGTTGAGCAGCAACTGTTGCAAGTGTTTGGAAATTGGTTAAATCATGATCTGTTTGCATGTTCACATCATATGTGGAAGTGTATGGTGAATGTGAATAATGATTTAATGATAACTAAAACATTGGCATACTTGTTAGAGATTGCAAATATTCATTTGTCCACATGAAGATACATACATTATCCTTTGAATTATTAATAAAACTAAATGGATCGTCTACAAGAAAAAAACAAAAAATATAAAATAAATGTTACACAACTGATTTCTCCATCCTACTTGAAAATTGTCCATCAAAACCATCAAGCAGAGAAAAATCAAAATTTGTTGTCATCTGCATTTGACCCATTGCAGGCTGATACAAATCAGGATTTCCACCTAAGCCTTAAAAAGAGAAGAGTTCGATTAAAAATATATATACGATTTTTTAGACAATAGAGGATAAACGGGCACACTATTTTTGAATTCTTAACAATCGTTTTTTAGCACAACCCACATACACATTCATTCAACAAAGCAATAAGCAAAAACGAAACACATTCTTCGTGTAATGTTCTGATGAAATTGGAGCAAAAATGGTATTTCGGTTAAAGAGATAAATACAAACGGAAAATACATTTAGTGGCTAAGGACATCGATCAAGAAACATTTAGTGTGACAAAAGGGTGACGTAGACATGCGTTTCCGATTATGATGGAGAAAACTGATGATTCTCCGTCCTAAAGAATTTTTAAACTGTCTGTTAAATTTTTCGCCTTTTATCACCATTGAATGTCTGTCGAAAATCTTTGTTTTGATTACTAATTGTCTAGTAAAGCTTAAATTCTATCACCTTGACTGGCAACAATCGGACTATCGGAGGAAACACATAGCAAAAATGCATATCTTACTTGTCAATGGCAACTCTGAAAAACAAAATAGTATAAAATAAATTGTCACTAAATATCTGAATAGCAATGCATATAAGGAAAAACGTTAAAAATATAACCAAAATCTTACCAGAATCTCTATCATTGAATCCCATTGTAGTAGAAAAGATGGTATCGTCAATTAAATCCAATTCATCAAAGAAAAAGTCAAACGGTTGTGGTGGCGGCGTGGCAATGCGACGAAAGTTTGGTATTAATTTTGGTTGATGAGTTTCGCTAACTTTACCTAATAAACGTTTCATTTCATCACTCTAAATAAGAAAGAACAGTGAAAAAATTAAAATAATAGGACATAGTATGCGACCTAAGCAATAAGACAGACTCAATCTTTTGCTTCACTTCAAAAGAAAACGTTCATATTCTACCGAAATATCATTTTCTAAACGTCTTAATGTTGTTTTTGAATTTTGTCTCCATTTGAAATACTCTTCTTTTAAATTGTTGAACATCGATTGTTTGGATTGCGGTGTAAATTGATTCTAAAACATAAAAATGAATAAGTGATAATCACTCAAAATATATGAATGAGTGTATTGCACAGTTAATAAAAGAGAAACCGAGATGTCTGATTAGTTAACCTTAGTTTAAGTTTTAATCTTGAACTAGAACGAAATAGTTAAGTTTATTCTGTCATAAACTTTTTACCGTTATATTTCTGGACGTTGTATCTAATGGACTAACGAACTGACAGACAAATGTTTTCATACTACATTTATCTAAACGAAAAGATTACAAAATCAATACAATGAAAATCTTTTTTTTGCAAACTTTACATTGTTGATGCCATGTTCGCCAAATAATATTATTCAAACGAATTTTATCTTGACATAACAATTTTGAACCTTTAAAATTTTTCCATTTGGGCGAAGTTAGATTTGAACTAGAACGGCAACAAAAATCTCTATTCAGTCACTTCAAAAAGTTCGTTTAAGCTTCGTATCCGAACTAAAGTCGTGAGTATCAACCACCCGAAGATTAAAGACTCATTAATCAATAAAACTAACCGATACACTGAATTAATAAGACGAAATAACGGAAGTAAATTGGTAAACATTTCAGCCTTCTTCACATCTGTTTCTTGAGATGTTTCAGTGGGCGGCAACCCATCAGTTGACATTGACTCGATACTAGTAACTGGAATGGGACTTGGACAAGGTACATCGTAGAAAGACTAAATGAAAAAACCGTACAAAGATTTAACAGTATTTTATGGCACAATCGAACACTACATACTTCATCGCATGTATCGTGTACATCTGATTTCATAAATTGTCCAGAATGCACAACTTGTTGTTGTACTTGTCGTACTTTTTTGCACATCGTTTGTACAACATTTGACTCAAGTTTAATACGTTTTGCTGGAATCTGAGACATTGTTGAACTATGAGACAAAAAAAAGTATCAATTATTTTTTAATGAAATAAAGTGAAAAGTATTATACATACTATTGAAGGGACAACTAAAGTGATTACAATCTTAAAGTGATCCTTCTGTTCACTTCTAGAACTACATTCATACCATTTAATTGTTTCGATCGATAAATGAGAGATATTTTACAAAGTAGAGTAGAAGAGAAATTCGTTGCAAAGAATAATTTCAATAAACAAAGGGCAAGATATGTAGGAAGAAGTACATTATTGGTCACATGATTCTTATCTTGTTTTCCTCGTTAGTCTTTTTGTACTTATATATGTTGTTTATCCAGAGAGAGAGAGCACTCGCTCGACATCTATTCATATGAATGGCATACTGAATGGTGTTTTATTTGTTATCAGAAAACTCCAGATTGAGCCAATCAGTACTGAAAAATAGAAAAACAAAAAGAAAGAGAGAGAAAGAGAACACAAGTGGCAAACAATTCAACCAGACAGAAATACAACAGGAGATTTAAGAGATAAGCATAGATTCTGTAGGTCTGTCTCAAAACTTTACTCAATTATTAACTCAATCAGTTTTCAAATTGATTTTTAAGAGTTACCTACATAGGTACATCTTATTTTACTTCAGTTTCATATCCTGCAAATCTGATTAACATGTAGTTGTACACGTGTAGTTCTTCGTGTTAGAATTACGAGAAACAAAATTAAAATGACTTGCGCAAGATAAATAAAAAACTTTGAATATTGCAGTTTTAATACAACAGCGTTATCTCATATTGGCATAATCGAAAATTTTAAAAGATTGCCCACACAAAATCAAACGCAGATTCGAACTTCCATAGTTGATTAACTTTGTATACAACCAATTTTAGATTCCTAATTTATTCTTACAGCAGTGGCTTTAAAAGATGCACATTTTTTCTGATCTTTTATGTAAAAGAAAAGAGAAGCTTTCTACCGACACTTAACGTCAAAAAAAATTTTAGAAAATCTCAGTTCAGCCAGTGGAGGAACTACGACCAATAGTGAAACATATGGTTTTCTTTTAACTGATAGAAGCTTTTTAACATGTGCTTATAGCACAGTTCATTTGTTGAATCTATCAGGATAATACTGGCTATTAATGCAATTTTAAATAGAAAAACGTTTCATTTTAGATTGTGTTATTTAATTTTTAATAGCAATATAATGTCTGCAACAGACGAAATAAACAATAAAAGTGATTTAAATAAAAACAAAAAACCGGATTTACCAAGATTTTATGTTGCAAAAGGTAAATATTCTTCACGTTTGAATAAAGAACAACAACAACAACAACAAGAGTCAAATAACAGTAATAATAACAGCTTTGGTAATTTTTCTTCAAACCAAACAGCAAAACTAAATAATATCAAACCAGCACAACAACAATCAGGTAATTGACTGATGGACGGACGTATTATAACTAAGCATACTATTTTAAAGATTAGTTGTAAACAAATATGAAAACCGCTTTCTGCCAAAGCAGTTAACTGCATTTAGATTTTGACATTTTCTTTAAATCACATAATCTTTCTATTGTAGCCAAGAATAAGATTAGCAATGAACAACGTCAATCATCCTATAATCACAAGAATCCCGGTAATTACTCTTACGGCTCACATTATGATAATTATACTCACAGTAACAATAATGCAGATTATTATGGAGATTATAATCAACGTTCCTATCACGAGTAAGCTATTCATTTGTGGATTTTTTCATCAAAAGTAGCTATTAACAACGTTTTTTATCTATCAAATATTTTAGACGTTATCAGAACGATTATTATGATTCATACTATGATTATCACAACGAAAATTATCAAAAACAGCAACCACAACAACAACAACGAAGGCCACATACAGCAAAAGGTCATGATAACATGACACATAACCCTCCACACGATAAAAATAAACAAAATGTTAATAACAAAAAAAATTTAGCAAACAACAGAAACACAACAGTATCAACAACAAAACAATTAACATCATCTTTAACTGAATTAAATCACCGTGAGGAATGTATTCCTAAAAAGAGTGATAATAAATTTAATGAGAAAACAGGTGAAGAAATCAAAAGAGAATCAACAAGTGATAATCAGATAGAAGATGCTCTTAACAACGAAAAGTTGTCTCAGTCGGTAAGTCTAGTGTCTTAAGATATTTTATTATTATCTTCTATTACCTAATCATCTGTATATTTCTGTCAAATTTTGTTTTTTTGTTGAATTAGTCTACTTAAAAATTATTTTTTTCTAGCCAGTATTGGACTTAGAAGATCGCATTATCAGTATGACATTTGAAAATAAACGATTATTGGAAATGACACCATCTCCGCCTCTATCAACGACGAAACAAGATAATAATGAAAGAACTAATGACACTAGTATTTCTCAATCTCAAATCTCTGATCAAAAACAAAAGAGTACACACGATGATAGAATCAATGAAGTGTTGGAAGCATCATCGGCTGGAGATGTTTTAAAATTATCAAATTCACATCATCGTGGCATATTATTTATTAATAAAGATGAAAAAATAGCATCGAATCATGTTGAAAAGAGTGATGATAACAAGAACGTGCATCAAACGGTAAGTGATCAAACATTATCGCGTTCATCACAGAATGAAACATTGAAACAACAACAATACTATAATCAAAATCGTAAACATCAACAACATCATCAAAATGAAAAAAAATTGTCGACACAACAATCTATAAGAGGCTTGACAAATATTACAAGAAAATTATACGATCCAAATGCACCGTTAGATCATATTGTGAAATCATCATCGATACATTCTTTCGATACTGATACACCGCCAGTACGATCAAAACAAACATTTCAAAAAATTCCAGCAAATCCTCTGTTACTTTCAAATGTTCAACAACTTCAACATCATCCACCTCCACCTCAATCTGCGCCACCCACACTATCAACATTGAAACAAATGCAAGAATTTTATCAACAGTAAGTTTAACATTAAACAATACAAAAGAATTTTGGGATCAATAACTCTTTTCCGCCCATAGAAGCTCGTATATAGTTGCATTTCTTATAGCCATTTTACGTTCATGAATGGGATTTCAGCCAACATACAACTACTATAGATAATTTTATTTTCTTCTATACTTTAGCTATCAGTCGTAAGTAGAAAAAAGACTAATCAAAATTTTTTCTAATGCTATTCCGATTTTTATTTGCTAATGTGAAGAACTAAGATTCCTAATCAGACTCTGTTCATAGAGATGCTGACAGATAGATTGATGACAAAGCTAAGTAAATCAATGAATAAAACTTAACACTTTATGATAATTGTTTAAATTTTGAAAAAATTACACTTCATTTCGAAGTATATAACTAGGAGATGCAACGAGGCTATTTAGTACTCATGATCAGTTTTTCTTCAAAAAAATTGCTGCTATTCATTTCGTATTTGTATTTTATTTTAATGTAAACGGTACGAAATTTTATTTATTGTTCTACTAACGATAACATAAAAGGGTGTGCTCTAATAGCTTGTATTGGCATCTGCATGTAGGAGAGTTATTTGAAGGTTTATTGACATTTCACGTTTACTAATACTTTAAAATCTGTTATTTTTAGAATATTGAGAAGAAAACTGAATTATTCATCTCAATTTCGATGACCTTCTTTTCTTTATTGCTTAATATAAGAACAACATCTCTCACTTGCGTAGTAGAAACATACGATATTTTTCTTTATTCTGACAATGTTTTTCTGTTGTTCAAGCAGACGTGCGCGATTACAATTACAAAATGTAAAGTTCAAACATTGCTATTACCTGTAGAATTAAGAATTCTAGAATTATGAACTTTACATGTATGTAAAGTTGAACTTTACTTGTTCAGAATTTTCTAAAATTCCGAATTCTAGGGGTGAATGTGGGGGTGAGGGTGAGGATGAGTGTGAATAAGCAACTTTACATGTATGTAAAGTTCATAATTCTAGAATTCTTAATTCTACAGATAATAGCAATGTATGAACTTTACATTTTGTAATTGTAATCGCACAGCCCTCTGTTCAAGGTAATAGTTTTTGTGTTTGAATTCTGAAAGGCTTTACTCAACTTAGTCAGAGTTCGATGATTGACCAGTCATGATTGATTCAGTCTTTAGTTAATATGTAGCGGAATTTGTTTTAGGTATGTTTTTGCTGAATTTTTCTATTTCTTTAGACAATTCTTTAACTATGACCTGTGGCATCAGACGTACGGACAAATTAATAATGAAACTTGTATGCAAGCCGTTCAGTGAGTAACATCCTGTGCATTTTATTTACATGTATCTAAATGTAGTATTCCCATTTGTAGAGCAATTCAATTCCGTAAACAGGCCTACGATTATTGGATGTCACAAATACAAAATATGGAACGATCTTTATCAATTTATTTGAAAAATTCTCCATATATGGAAGCAAATTTTCCACGAATGATGGAAGCAAAGTAGGTGTATGATGTGTCTCTTATGTGTCTGTATCTAGAACCAACTTTTCTTATTTAGAACTGCTTTACAACAAGCCTATGTTCATGCGATGATGACAGATATTGAAACATCACTAACACGAAATTTAGATGCAACATTATGGAAATGTTGTTTTCACGATGTCATTGAGATATTTCGACATATTGAACCAGATAAAAGTTCGGCAAGTGGAAACATAAAAGCGATGATACGTACAATTATTGATGATGTAATTAAGACGGACAAAAAATTGAGTGAATAATATAGAAATCTGTCTGTATTTTAGGGTGAAAAATTTTTCTTAGCATTTATTCGACAGTTGGAATCGGCATTTGGTTTAGATACAAGGTTATACTTTAATCCAAATATATATCCACCAGAAATAACAAATGTGTACATGAAATATGCATTGTTATGCGCACAACATTGTTATTTGAATATGGGCGATTTAGCAAGGTAATAATATCTCTTATTAGTATTGTTTTTCAAAATTAAATTATATTAACACTACATGTAGGTATAAAGAAAATAACATGAATGGAAATGATTATTCACAAGCAAGAAAGTAAGAATTTTTCTTTATATGCACAAAATGCAATGTATACGTAATAGTACAAATGTCGACAGCTAACTGATATTTCATAGATACTATTTGAATGCAAGATCATTATATCCAAAAAATGGCAAAGCATACAAGCAATTGGCTATATTGGCTTGTATTACGGTAGGAGCCATTTAACCATTATTAAGATCCACAAAAATACCGTAAAACGTTGACCTCATTTTTTCTTTTGTTTTCTAGCATCGTCGGCTAGACTGTGTTTATTATTATGTTCGTGCATTAGCTACAACAACCACCATTCAAACAGACAATATCAGACAAAGTTTAATGTCGTTATTTGACGAAGCCAGACGACGAGTAAGCTAATTAATTATTTATTAATTGACAATCTATTTTCCAAAATATTTGTTTTTTATCTAGCTTGATATGTTTGAGAAAGATTTGTCAAAAGATATGAAAGATCGTGAAAAGAAAAATGAACGAAAAATTCGTTCAGGTAATCAAAAATTAGAAATATGGAAACGGACGGATGGCAGTGTTTGTGGAACAAGTACAGATGAAAATAATTCAACAACTAACAACAATGGATTTGACACATCAGTTTCGCAGCAAGAAGTACGCATTGTTTCAGTTGATCAACTCGAAAATATATAACATATTTTTATTTGTTTCATCATTTAGCTAAACCGTTGGTTTATGTTAAACTATATAACTGTTCATGGAAAACTATTCACTAGAACTGGGTATGTATCCGCGTAGTTCTTATCGTGGAAACCTGGTCCTTAAGTTAAAGGTTTTTCCTCCCTATGACAGGACTACATAACTGAATCATTGTGAAACCTAGTGTAAAAACTGTTTGCGCATCTACAGAAGCACTACAACTAAGGAAGGATTCTAATGTGTATGGTACTACTAATAGAAGTTTATAATATTCTTATCTGATAAGAGAAGAGTCTTGGTAAGTCCGTACAGAATTATTTTGTATGTAAAAATTCAAGACACATGTAAGGACTACTTGGGTGCCATCTCGGAATGTATTTGAGAGGTTGTGTTCTGACCGTCGTAATGGTCTAAAACCTGAGTATTTTTTTAACTTTAAGTATGGAAACCTATACGGAATATTGTTCAAAGATGTTGCATCAATTTCAATCGTTATTGCGCTATGATCCATCGCCTTTGGGTAAACAACAACTTGTTCAAATAATGGGCATAAATATGTATCAGATTGACGTTGCTAAGCAAATGAAAGTAAAACGTATGTATTTTTTGTTTGTTTACCGTACACCTGGTATTTAAATCGTTTACTTGAAAGAAAGTATATGATTAGATCGTGATTCGTAGCTCAGAGGTTCGAGTATTGGCCCAGACATCCAATGTCATTCGGGTACGATTTCTGATTTGGGAATATATTTATTTTCTTATGTTGGCCTATCAGATGTAATCATGTAGATCGATTCAATGGCAGAGGAACAACAGAGCTCTCCGTAAAAACTAGTGGATATTATTCAAGTATGAAAAAACTTTTTTCACACTTGAATAATATCCACGACATCACTTAAGTCTGTCTTACTTTTTTATCCAATAGACACCTTTGAGTCAAACTTAAATTCTGCAGACAAAACTATACAAAACCTACTGCTCTTTTAATCTGTTCTTTTGTTGATATTTGATGCATGGTAGGAGGGAATGATTCCTTATTTTCTAGCTAATGTGATCGTACGTTCACAATTTGAAGAATCTTCGTTGCAATTAGCATTGGATATGTTTGGAATTTTAACCGAAGAAACGTCAAAAATGTTGGATCGCTATATGAAAATAAAACCCACAAATCAGTCTTTACCAATATTAAATTCTTGGTTACAACAAGTGTTTCCTGCGTTGAAAGTGTTTACTGATTGGATGACATGTCATTCTTCTGTTTGGCTGCCGTTACCGGATCAATTACCTATCGAATATGGTCCACATCCAGACATATTGACATCATTAGCGAAAATCATTAATCATATTAGAAATATAGATCGTTCTCACATACAACTTGGCTCTCAAATGAATGGTAACAAGGCTAAATGTTTGTCAAACACAAAACGCATTTGTTCTTCTCTTTAGATGGAATACCAGTTATTTTAGAAGAAGACGTTGAATTAAGTGGTTTTGTGCCATTGATGACATTACCAGTCGATAATGTACAAACGATAGCAGATACACCTCTAGTAAGTAACGATTTATTATTCTTTTCTACGAAACTTGATCAATTTTACTCATTTGATTTTTAGGATGAAGCAAAAAATTCAAAACGAGTTGGACGTTTATGTTTCGTTGCCGACTTTTTTTGTGGATTAGAACCGCCGGTATTTATTTATGATGTGCGAAATAAAACATATCATTCTGTATTAAAATCACAAATTCATTCAGAAAGAAGTACAAATCCAATTCAGGTAGATGTCTTTATTGTTGAAAAAGGAGAAAGGGTAAATACGATAGTTGATTTTTTTTCAGAATGTATCCAGCGATCAAGATGGAAATGACGTGGCTCCATTATTATCACAATTAGTTGAACCAGGTTCACCTGATTCTTTGTCCGACAATATGAATGAGTTAAAACGAAAGAAACGTCAATTAGAAAATCAATTAGCTGAGAAAAAGAAACAGGAACAAGTTGTAAAAGTAAGTAGTGGCAATAGCACACTTAACAATTGAAAATGTATTATGTTTCTTCTTTACGTAAGGACATATTGAACACATCCCGTTTAATTGAAATAGAAGTTGTGCCAAGATTTCTTGTATTAGATACGAACTGTTTCATTAATTATTTACCAAAAATTCAAAAATTAATCAAACAGGCTAAATTTACTATTATCATTCCACTCGTTGGTATGTATCATGTTCGTTCGAATGACATTATACCAAGTACTAATTTAAGTATTTTTTTACAGTCATTTGTGAATTAGACAAACTATCAGTATCAACAAATGCTGATGATGATTCGTATGAACATGCCGAAATGGTTCGTCGACAGGCTATATTGGCTGTTAAGTTAATTGAAGAATGTTTTGAGCAAAAAGAAAAACGTGTTCAAGCAATGACCGGTGAAGGAAACATTATGGATTCAATACAATTTCGAAATGAAATAAAGAAAAACGTAAATTTTGTAAATCTTAAGTCTTCTGTTTTTAAAATATTTGAGGTGTTATCTTTTAGGAATCAAATGATGATATAATACTTGGATGTTGTCTGAAATACTGCAAAGATAATCCACGAGAATTTTTTCCACAAAATAAAGGTAACCGGAAATGGAGAAGTTGAAACTATTTTGAGCATGTATATTTTTTTTCTTAATTTAGACGAGGCTATACGTTTACATCGTGATGTTGTACTAGTAACAGATGATCGAAATCTAAGACTAAAAGCACAAGCAAGAAATGTTCCGGTTAAAGATTTTCCAAAATTTATTCAATTAGTACAAATAACACTTTAATAATAATCCAAAAAAGAGATGACAGTTTTGAACTATGCAAGTGTTTTTGTAATGCACGTAGATCAAATACATCCAGACTATTTAAAAACGTTTATATGTACCAAACAGCAAATAGTATGTATATATGTATATTTTGTCTAGTCTAATTGAGATAATCACGAAATTATATTTTTAACCTAATACGAAGATATGTAGTATTGAATAAGAGGCTTCATCATCGAATTTCCAAGAAAAAAAACTCTGTTGGGTAGTAATTGATCACAAAATAGGTAAAAAAACGCGATAGTAAGTCCACATGCAGTCGAGATGTATGATTAAAAGTGTAAACGAAACTCAATAGTACCTACGTTATTTAGATGATGCAAGTATGTTTTGAGTGTATGCTAGTTTTTTAATATAATTCTCTTTTACAGAATATTTTTAATTTTATGTTCTATTTGTATTTTTAGGTGACGCTGGATGAAAAACTTTTTTTCTCATATACCGGTGATTTGCTACTATTATTTTATGTTAGACTGGTCTTGGTAACTGATATTGGAGAAGATAAATATGAGAAACAAGTGAAAATCAAGTTTGTTTTTTCATCTGTTCATTTTGTATATTTGACATCTCATATTTCACAAGCAGTTGTCAGTCTACATCTGTTGTTAGTAAATGTTTTAGCAGAGGAGAAAAGGCAGTGTGTTATTACGTCAGATTTTGTATATTTCACGTCTCATTCAAAAGCTTTTTCTCTTTCATTGTTCAGTGGATAAAAATATGAATTCTATCGACTAAATATTTGAAAAATTTAGTTTCTAGCTGTTATCCGACCATCTATTAGGCTTGAGAATGAAGTAACCGTATTTTCTGGTCTTTTTGTGAATAGAATACTCGTACCCTCATTTTTTCTTTTTAATAAAAACCGTGTTTATTTGTATGTTTATACGATTTTTCTCGGCATAAACTTATTAGATGCGTAGTAGCAGTGACATTCTCATAAAAGTTATGAGCGCCAGAGATTTATTGATAGAAGATGAATACATTTAATTCACATCCAAAAGCTTTTGTTTTCTAATCAATAATCATAAGCCTTGACTTATCCTCTCTCTACTTGTGTTTTTCGTATTCCACTATCAGAACACGTGTAATTCTTAGCTTCTTAAACAATATTAGTTTTGATCCAAGTTTTTCAAGATAATGTAAGCCAGATTGTGTGATGTATATTCCTTTTATCGCTTTTTTTTTGCTATCCCTTGTGTGTATGTATTATACTATTTTTTTCTACTTTTTTTCCACAATCATTCATTCTGGCTTTTTTTTGTATCAACTTTTCTAAATCATGGGTTTATTAGTACTGAGCGAAGTTTTCAACATGTGAGAGGATACTGTTTCTTTTCATACTAACGTTTTTTTTATACACTTTCAAGCCTTTTTTTCATTTCACTTATTGTTTTTGGACATACTCTCGAAAATGAATCGAAAATAAAATCGCGACGTAATACCTGCTGCTGATATACTTACTAACAATCACATTCGGATGAAAACATAGATTATCGACCATTTTGAGTCTCGTGACAATGTTTATTTTCAAAAATGCATACTTAAAAACTTAGTGAAAACCTATATGAGACCGATTCTGAACCTTTTAAGAAAATCTGATGCCATGTCTGAACGACGAAAAATGAGGAGTTTGGATGGTTTTTATTTTGAAGCTAGCATTCCGAGCTATCTTTCGATGGAAAAGAACAATACATCTATACTTCAAGCTTTTGAGCTATGGTTTGGTTTTCTAGAGATCTATAACAACACCCTCGGACGTGAAAAATTGATTTCTAAAAAGCATTTTCATTTTGTCTCAACGTTGGGATGGTCCGCTACTCTACTGAGCAACCGTTTTCACTCCTAGTTAAAAAAAGGTAAAATATTTAAGCTTTAAACTTTCTCTCCAGAAGTAACTTATAACTAGGAGTTAACATTCTCCGCTACTACTGAAAAACTTTAATTCACGTCAATTATCAACGTAAAAAAAGGTAGAATCACAAATTTTACAAACACTTTCCAGATTTTTTGGGTTGTCCTGTCTTCATAAATCTGGTCGTGATGCAAAATGCTACCGTTACACGTGCGTGTTTAAATAAAAGAATTGACTGATTTGACTATATTACACTTTCTCCAAACTTGATCCATTCCAAAAAATGTACCAAAAACACGTTGATTAAAGTGGATCAGTTCTTCTATGAATATCCATTTAAGAGAAAAACCAAAACTCGTGAATACGATAACAGATGGTTCAGATTGCAAGCTTTGGAAAGCTTTGTTCTCAGGCTAAGTTTCAAACATTGGAAAATATCTTCGGGCAATGAGATCTTTAGCGGTGTTTTACAAAAACTGACGAACAAAAATTATTTTTTTAATATGAGCAGATGCAGAATTTCAAAGTCTAGCAGATATCATTCGTCCCATGGGTTTGCTGCCTGTGATAATAAATGACGAAGTTTAGATATTTACTTATACAATGAACGACGTCAAGAGCCTGATAAAAGGAATATTTTGCAACGGATTTCCATGACCATCGTAAAATTTGATTTTGTACCTAAAATATTAAGATTCTAGTTTTTAATGTCTTATTTGAATCGCGCAACAAAACTAATTTGAATACTAAAAATTACACTTTATTCTATACAATAATAAATACTTTGTTTATTCCAACCAACTAATCACATATCCAACACAAAAACACGCTCGACAGCTCAAACAGTGCCTGTCTCAGTGCTCTACGAGCGTCACGATCAGCACCTGAGCAATACTGGAATCAATCATCATCCAATTCATGAACAACCCATTCACTATACTATGCATCTATCCCCTAGACATTCCGTGACACAAGATGACATTTTACTTTCGTCACAGCACTGCTCATCTGAAGACGACGAGATGAACAAAAACTGAGTCAATGACAATGCGGCCATGAACAATGCAGATCATCACGAAACCGTCCATCTATCTCCTAGATATTACAGGGCGGCAAATTACATCTCACGTTCATCACAGCATTGCCCATGAGACGACGACGGGGGCACCAGCAACCGAATCAATGATGATGCAGCTAACGAAAAATACCAATTAGCAAACCACTCATCTATCACCGAGAGGATCCAAACACCAGATGACATTTCATTTTCATCACAGCAATGCTCATCCGACGACGACTAGGCTATCAACAAGTGAATCAATAATGATGCAGCTATTGAAGACTGACAAAGACAGGAAGATTATACTAGTCGCCTATCCTCTGGACTTTCCATGGATCAAGATGACATTTCAGTTTCGTCACAGCAATACGCATGTGACGAGGACGACATCACCACCAACTGAACCAATAATGATGCAGCTGGCGAAGAACATCAAGGAAGAAGATTATACTATTCATCTGTCCCTCACACGCTTCACAGATCCAGATGACATTTCATTTTCGTCACAGCAATGCTCATGTGACGATGACGGGGTGACCAACCACTTAACCATCGATCATGCAGCTAGTGAAGAACACCAATCAAGACTATACTATTCATCGATCACCTAGACCTACCATGCATCCAGGTGACATCTCACTTTCGAGACAGCAATGCTCATGCAACGACGACGCGGTCACTAAAAACCGAGCCAATGATGATGCATATGGTGAAGAATACCAAACCATTATACTTTACATCTACCTCCAGACGTTTCATGGATCCAGATGACATTTCACTGTCGTCACAGGATTACTCATGTGATCCGGACCAGATACCCAACAACTGTATCAATGGTGATGCAGCTAGTGTAATAACGACTTATTTTCTCGTTAACCACTCAACAGAAAAAATTTTTAAAAACGAAAATTTCATTAGTTGATAGAAGAAAGTCATTTATCTAGCTGTATAATACCGTTTTCATCTAATTAAGGGCCAAGCCCCTCAGAAATGGTGATTTTCCGTCAAAAGATCGGTTTTGAGATACACACATGGAAAGATAGCCTGAAGTGTCTGCTTCCAGAATCTGTATTGCTTTTGGTTATAAAACTAATTTTTCGGGGATTTTGAGCAAGTTTTCTAAGAGCCTCGAAAAACAGGGTCTTCAAATAATAGTTTTTTCCTGGATACTTATGCAATTAAAATTTTTCTGAATGCACAGCTTTGTTGAGCACACGTTTCTGATCAAAATAAGATCTCACACAACTCTGTATGACCTTGCATCAAAAAGTTACGGGGATTTTCGTACAAGTCCTAAAATCGAGTATTTCACACAGCGTTTTCTCTATATAAGAGTTACACCTGAAGTGCGTCCCAAGATTTTTAATAGCGGTCTGTCGTAGAGAGTTCATTCTTTTTTGTTTTAAAGAGGAAAAGAAACTACATCGACTGACCGGCGTCGATTTTTGAATTAGGTCTTGGTTTTTTGTCAAACTGAGGATTTTTCGGATTTTGGAGGTTGTTGGTTGCCTGGAAAACCAATAAAGGCTTAATTGAAAAATCGGCGCCGGTCAGTCCATGTAGTTAGTTGTCTAGTTTAGAATAAAATAAACCCAAACTCTCCAGCT